TTTTTTTTTTTTTTTTTTTTAATTTAAAAATCATTGTTATCATCACCAAATAGAAAGTACAATAGAACTCTTTGGAACGATTGTTTCTTTCCTCCAATCTTTTTTTGGTTCTTTTCTCTCACCCCCTCTTATACTGCTACCATTTTTTTTTTTTTTTTTTTTTTTTTTTTTTTAAATTTATTTTTTGTTTTTGAAGATCCTGGATTTCTCAAGTTGAACTAGTCTGGCAGGATGTTCTATTGGCATTTGGCTTTACTCCCGTTATCTTAAACAACACAACTTCCTTCTCACTAAAAACCATGGCAGCTCCATGCAAACACTGACTCTGGATATCAACACAAGGGTCACATTTGAACAGTGATTCCTGCAAGGGAAGCTGGCCAGGGGTGGTGAGGTCAGGCTGGACACTAGCATTTGGCAGCAGTCATCATAGACAAGTACTAACACACACTCTTGGTTTCTTTGTCATCCTTTTCATCAATTCTATTTGTGACTTTCTTATACTACACTTCTGTTTGCACAAAGCTAATAATATGGTAACGTATACTTGCCTTTTTCTTCTTTGATGTATCTCTTTTTTTTTTTTTTTTTTTTTTTTTTTATTTTTGGTTTCTCCTGTCTATAAGATAGCCATTAATTTTGATTGAAGGGCAGTGGACTAATGATTTTTTTTTTTTTTAACAAAATTTGTTTTTGTTTTGAATAATGTTATTCTAACTGTAAAATATTGAAATTCAATTTATATATTATTTAATTTTCCAATTAAATTTACGATTTCTTGTTTTCCAGATATTTTTGTTCAACAATATTATTTTTTTTCTTCTACAATGCTGTCTCTTTCTAAGACCCACTCACTTTTTTATCTTCCTCTTTCTTTTTGAGCTTGCACCTATTATTCTATTCTTTCTATTTTTTCTTCTCATTCATTCACGTTCTATATGTCTGCTTGTCTGTCTCTTTCTTTATTGACATGCTTTTTGTTCTATGTGCGCCTGTGTATCTTTCTCTCTTTTATCTTGTTCTGTTACACTGTCTTTCTCACTACTCTCTCACCTCATCTTATTCCTTTTTGTCTCTCCTCAAAAATTAAAAAAAAAATCCAACCAAAATTAGCAATTTGGTACTTATGCTCATTTCCTGTTGCTATGTTCTGTGATGCCATACTAGTTCATCAGGACTATATTCCACCTCACTTCTTTCTCCTCGCCCCAAAACATTTTTAATCTCCTATTATCATAATCCAAGCAGAGTAAACACTAGGATTAACAGATTTGTAAAGGATGAAGCCATGCACAAACATCTGTTAAGTCTTCATACTGAAAATATCTCAGCAAATGTTAAAATTTTATCTACAAATTTCCTTTGAATATTTGGTTTAATTGCTGTGAATTTCTACTTCATTTAATATAGGGAAAATTATTTTGCCTGTAGTGAAACTTAAATTTTTATTATAACGACCGGGCTGAAAACATCTAATCCAGTACAGTAACCACTTTGAATTTTGCTGCAGGCGTTTTCCTCATCGGGACTTCCAAATAATTTATATTTGATATTTAAAATCCTTTGAACCAATTTAGTATTGCATTTTACTCCATGCATATATACACACACACTCTTTCTCCATTAGTTATATCCACCTATTTTGTATAAGTGTATGTGTGTCTATAAGTGAGTTAGTAGTTAATACTTACATGAGAATAGATATTGTGAAAAGATGTTCTTTGCTGTCAAATCTACCTGCATATTTATATATTTAGTTAATGCCGTTTTAATTTTTAATTAATTTGATGAATTTATTTTTCGTTTTCTTTTCCATATTTTACTCCTTATTTTTTTATTTTTTTTTTTTTCCCCATCTTTTGGAATCATTTATGACTGAAATTTTTGTTGTAATGAGGCAAATTGCTTGGAATTATTATGTTGCGCCAACCAATTCTAGCAGAATGGCTGGCATTCCAAAATTGGCAGCTGTCCAAAAAAAAAAAAAAAGGAAAGAAAAAGAAAAGGAGGACAAGAGAATTTAGTGTTATTTTTAGAATTAACGATCTTCATTCCAAATAAGTGAAAAATATTGAATTTTTTTTTTTACCCTGAGTAAACTTCTTAATTAAGTCTTGTTTAAAAATGCAACTAACTGCAACTGGATAATTTAAAAGAAAAAAATATCAAGGAGAAGGATGATTACCATAACCTGTAAGAGATATTTATATCTAAAGTTTTGCAGATGTATTAAACACAGTAGGTAGTTTCTGTCTGATTTTCTGGGATGAGGAGTTATCATTAATTATGCTATTTAGATTTGGTCTATTGTCCTCATCTTTGTTGTTGTTATCACAACATTTTGGCCATTGTGCCTTCTGGCTTTCATCAAGTGTATATCGATCCAGTTAATCTACAGGAAATTCCAAACTGAACTCTTTATTTAATGTACTGTATACTGTATTTAATGTATACTGTTCTTGTTCTGATGAAGGCTGGAGGGCACAATGGTTGAAGCATTGTGATAACAACAACAAAGATGAGAACAATAGTCACATGTAAATAGTGTAAATAATGGTGGGTAGTGTAAAATGTGGCTTGTATGCTAATTTTTGAATTCTATCAAGGCTAGAAATTGAGGATTGAGCAATATCACACTTTTCAGTCTTGATAAAGTTCAAATTTCTTTATGCAGTCCCTCACGACAATGTAAACAATTTTGAACTCTATCAAAGCTAGAAAGTGTGGATTGAGCAGCTCGACAATTTTTAACTTTATCAATGCTAGAAAGTGCAGCATTGCTCAATCCTCACTTTTCAACCTTGATAAAATTCAAAATCATTTATATGGTTTTGTGGCAAAAACTTATTCTCCACCCTACAACCTCATTCTCAAAGACACAGCATTGCAAGCCTATCACTATTTCCATGCCAGATGAGCTCTATACTTTAGTCCCACCAGTTCAGGCCTTTACAGCTAGTATATGCCATACTAATTACTTCTTCTATTTCTTCTATATTCTAAATATAAAGAGAAAATACCACTTAGATAGCATTTTTCCCAAGAACTGATACTTTGTGTAACACTCACACATAGATACTTCCCTAAACACTACAATCTTAACCTTTTCAAGTTATGGGTCATTCATTATCTATCCCTCTTATCCTCACTTTTTACCACATCCTCTTTCACCCATATCACACCACATTTATTATAACTATTTTAGCAGCAACCCTTTAACTTGAGTAGCCCTTAAGCCTTGTGTTGGGTAAATTTTAGTATTAAAAAAAGAAAAAAATCTTTACTAGATGAGTAACTACACTATGATGATTTTAGATTTCAAAGATTGTCACACAGGCTTTTACTAGTTTCTACAAACTTTAGGGGTTGTATTACTATCCTGGTTGAGTATAATAATTCACAAAGATAATTATTTGAAATGAGAGGAAGTTGAAAATGTTGGTTCAAATAATTTAGCTATTAGGCATGTTTATCAAGGTTTCCAATAAGTAGTAATTTATTTGTAATAACATTGTTATTCTTTTTTTTTTTTTCATTATGAGAGTATAGAAGTTAATTTTTTTTTTCAAAGAATGTTTGCTAGTAAGCAATTTGCAGCTTTTTTCAAGTCTTGCTGAAAATTTATTTTTATTTCTAATTCACACACTTTCCTAATTCTGATATAATGGTGGTTTGAATATATGGGCTGAAAAATATCTAGTCAAAAATAAATGACAGATGATGCTGTTACATAAAAATTCAAAATATTATTACTGCTAATATTACTAGTGTATGTAAACAACATCAAATATTGTAGTGCCAACTAATCTGGGATAAATAAAGAATAATAGCTGAAATAGTGAGAGCAACTCTCATGGTAAGATATACTTTCTCAGGTAAAATGGGAGTGATGCTCATGGAACATAGTCACATCATCTTATGTGGTTAATAATTTGGTTTGAACTGATGTTTGGTGACTATGGTCACTGTTTCACAATAAGCTGTATCAGTTTTGTTGCTGTGTTAGTCTTCACAATGGTCTTCAGGTCACTATACCAAAGTCACACTGTTTCTTACTGAAAGTCAAATCAGCTGTCTTTTCACCAAATGCATATAGTCTGTATTGGCTACTATTATTGTCCCCAGTAGGGAAACTGAGTTGATTGTCAGTAGCAGAGAGAGGTTGTAGTAAGAGGTTCCCCAATTGTAGCATTGCAGACCTATACCCTATGAAGTAAAGATTCTTATTGAAGGATTTTAGAGGGTGAAGCTCTTTTTTTTTTACTTTTTTTTTTTTTTATCAGGAAATCTTACCAGTTGGTGATTTGTCAATTCATGTGCCAGTGAAAAGGTGCATCTGGCTTTTCTTTTTCTTTTTTATGAGACTTGTGACTGTCAACTAACCCTATCATATATAATATCATATTTCAAAAATATAATATATTTCCACCAACATGTGTGGTTGTTTTTTGTTTTTTTTTCTCCCAATATCTGTTCTCTTCTATTTTACACAAACAATGTCATAGCTCATTTTATCACTCCAGGATGTATTTGATACCGTCTACAATTCTTTATCTTAAAAAAAAAATCAGATTAGACCAAAAATGGAGTATTGCTGCCATATCTGGGCTGGAGATGCTCACTCTTCACTTTCCGGTTTTGATAAGAGTAAAAAATTATTCAGGTGTTCTTGTGGAGGAAGATATTTGTTTCCTACAGATGCAATGTCGCAAGCCTGTCATTATTCTATCACTATTTTCATGGCAAATGTTCAGATGAGCTCCACCAGTTCAAACCTTTACAGCTACTTCCACAAAGTCAAATCACCTTCATTTCCTCCATATTCTAATTGTAAGAAGAAAGTTCCACTCTGAAAACTTTTTCCTAAGAACTGCTACATCGTGAACAGTCTCCTGCATGAATGCTTATCTAAATACTACAATCTTAGACTTTACATGTTAAGAGTCAATCTTTATATATCCTTGTCTTCATAATCTTCATTTATTAACATCTCTTTCGGCTTATGGCCACATCATGTTGAAACACCGATTCCTGTACGATCACCAAAGTTAAGCAATGTTGAGCCTGGTCAGTATCTAGATGAGTGATAGCTTGGGAATACCACGTGCGATAAGCTTGAATATACTGGTCGTCTAATGGATAGGGGCTTGGAATTGCTAATCTGAGAGCCAAGTTTCAATTCCAGTTGTGTTCCTTATATTGACTTATGTGCAAATACCCTTACGAAAGGTATGAATCCACTTCTCCTCTCAGATATGGGTTAATTAATTAGTAAGGATTTATATCACTAAATAATTATCTAAAAAAAAAAAAATCTTACAATCTAAAAATATTTACTGGCTTTAAATAACCTGTAATGGGTTGATAAGCCATACAAAATCAATCCCTTTCATTCACATCACACAACTCGTTCATCATAACCATTTTAATGGTAGCTCTCTATATTGAGTTGCACACAAGCCTTGTATTGAATGAAGATTAGTACTAAAAAATGTTAGGGTCTCATTGAGATATAATTTATTTCTGATCTATGCTATTGTCTACAAAATGATAATCTAATTAGTTTTAATGAAAAGCTAGTAAAATTTTGAGGAAAGGAATACTGGTTAAAATTAATAATAGTTGACATGTTTCATCTAATAAAAATTTAAGATATTATTTTTTATTTTTTGTTTTTTTTTTAAGAACCTATATCTGTGTCCTGTTATACTTTCAGTGAGGGCTCAAAATGTTTATTTTTAATTAAGAAAATACAAGAGACCAAAAAAATATTTTCCAATCTTACCCAAGAAATCTTCCATCATGTTCATCAGCAGCAACTAATCATATACTTACTGCTTTGTGTTCATATTTGTGTCTTTGCCAGAAAAAAAAAAAACATTTTGGTTGTCTACATTATTATTTAATTTTTTTTTCCAGTAATTTATTTTTAGAACTTAAGAAAAAGAATGAAAAAGTTAATCCTTTTTCAAACAGTTCCTACCTCCTAATTGGTATTACTGATCTTACTGAAAGAATAAAAAAAAAAAAAAAAACAAATATGAAAAATAAACTCACAGTGCCAAATTTCCATAATGGAAAAAATGTCTTTTAAAAATTGCCTGTTGAAGCAGATTTTTCATACTGAGCTCTGACAGTCACATGATCAAATGTACCTATTCATCTCTTACAAAATTCTACACTTTTATACAGGATGTCCCAAAAGTCACTTTGGAATTTAAAAATCTAGCACTTTCAACACATTTTTTTATTATTCAAAAATAGTTGTATTCAGAAAGAAAATTCAAACACTGGAAATGTATTCCAGTTTAATCATGAAAAATTATACCTCAATATCTTGCATTTTCTATGTCACACAGATGCATTCTTTCTATAGCTTTCCACATATCAGTGTTTGCAATCCTCAAATTTCTGTATAGATGTTATCTTTGAGTTGCTGAATTGTCTGTTTATTGATGCATATACTCTTTTTAAAATATATTAAAAAAAAACACTTGGTTGGGTTTCAGATCAGAAGAAAGTAGTGGCTATAAAATTTCAGAATTTCACAAAATTATCTAGTAAACAAAATGTTTTTTTTTTTTTTTTTTTTAAGCAAGCAGTGAAGCCACTAAAAAACAAGGGGTTACTGTGTGTGAAAAAATTAGAAAACAAACATTACTAAGGAGCAAGAACAATAGAATAGTAATCAAAAAGACAATAGCGATTGACATTGCATTCAAATTTTTGAAGATTAAAGTTACTGAAAAGCATGGAGCTGAAGAGTTTGAGAGTATGAGAAAAGAAACTGTTAGCATAGAACTTACAGATACATCTAGCCAATTCAACTGTAAATTGATGAGATCTTTGCTACCAGTCGAGTACTGCACTTGCATTTATAAAGTTTAGGTACCATAGCAACAAGCTCATCTGAACAATTACTATGAAAGTATTTATAGAAAAGGCACAGGGAAGCAACTTTACAGGAGTGGGAAAGTGACTGAAGCTGAGATGCCAGGTCAGGACCAATAATATTGCTGATTCTTCTTTGGATTTTATCAAGAATCTTTAAATATATAGCAGGAGCACCAGATCATATATAGCAGCAATATCCTAAGCATAGGCAATTGGTAGGCTTATTGATATGAAAGATAGATTTTGGAAAGAAAAATTGTCTTGCACGCCACAGTGAACCAACTTCCTTAGCAGCTGACCTAGCAATGGATTGATTAATCCTAAATAAAATTCCAAGATTTTGGTTCCTTGTTCAATTTTTTCAGGGATAATTTTCCTATTTTAATTTAAGTTTTAAAAAAAAAAAAAGAAATAAATGAAAATTATGAAAAATATGACATTTAAATACGGTATGTTTAAATACCTAGGTATCTTTTGCAACATTGTATAATATACAATTACGCTGACATCTCTTATGTCATGTTTGATATTTTTTACTTACATGAAAATATGTAATTTTTTCTTTTAATAACCAATAAAAGCATATTGATATTTAAAATGTTTTGACTGACAGATATACTTAATAGTGTATTCACTGTATAAATTCTGTATTAATAATAATAATAAAAGTACTTAGAAATATCTGTTTGAGTGTCTGTTGGAGATAATAATGTGTATGGCAGAAATACCTCCCACATAATAGTAAAACATTAGTTAGATGAAGACACCATTGCCACTAATTTCTTACCATTATGTAGGAGTTATTTCTGCTCCATCTTGTATAATGACCAAACAAAATTTAGGAAAAAAGAGTATCAAAGAAAAAACATTTGGCATTCATTGACTGAGGAGCCAGTGCTTACTTTTGGTTGAAATTTATAAAGTTTTTCTTCTAAACAATTTTTCAGAAAAATAGATTTCTCATGTCCAGTAACTGTTATTGCTCTTTCCAGTATTGATGGGGACTTCCTTTTGTTTAAAGTAGTGTGGAATGCCATCAACATTATTTTCATTGTCAAGTTCTTGCTGCAAGTCAAAATTCTCACATGGTTTTGTTTTTGTTATCTGGTATGGTTTTTTTTTTTTTTTTTTTTTTTTTATTTTTTTTTTTAAGCGTTTCACCCCAAGCAAGGTGGGAAGCCACTAGGACACAAGGGGTTACAGAAGATTTGGAACAAGATCAGATAGGAATGATAGCGGAAAGTATGAGGAGAAGGATAGTGGGTAGATCAAGGCAACTGGAGATGTCGATTGACAGGTTCTTTGTGATTTTGTAATGTCAGTCCACAAGGTTCAAAATGTTGCAAAAGATGCCTAGATATTTAAAAATGCTGTATTTAAATGTCATATTTTTCATAATTTTTATTTATTTTTTTTCTCAGACCTACAGGATTCATTTGCTTGAATCCATTTTTAATCATTGATCTGCTGACATTTTAGATATTTCTGACTTTTGTGCCATGCATGGCATCCATCTGAAAGTCTTAATCAGACAAGGCTATTTGAACATGATTCAAGTTTTTAGGTTAATGCTTTGGTGTAATATCAATTTATGATGTTTGGTGAAACTATCCCTAGCACAGCCTGTTCTATCTTCAATTTCCTTTTCCTGGGGCCCATAAAGAGCAATATATATATACTCTTTGTTTGTCTGAGACAGACCCAGTTACTGCAACAGTCACTTTGAGTTTAATAATAATGTTTGTCATTAAGTCACTTTAAGCCAATGATAATGTTTGTCATCTTGGAAGAAAATTTAAAACTTAACTATTTATGATTTCTAATTTTTAAAGGAATTTTCTTTTACAAAAATACAAACTTTTTCTTTTACAGAATACAAAGAATTTTTTTTTTTTTTTGCTTTTGTGTCTATGGATTTACCTCTCTATAAATGACAGTAATATTTGCAACTGTTAGACAATGTCCGTTGAGCCGTCTTGCTTCTCTTTCATTTGCTATGGCTGCATAGAAAATAGAAATCTAAAAACTGATCACATCTTCTTGAGCTTTTGCCTGATAGAAATACTTGTCATTATACTACCAAAGACTTTACTACATAATCCATTATAGTAGTTGTTTGGGTGTCTGTCATTGAACAATGTCTGATCAATAAACAGGTCAGTTATTCAACTCTGCCCCAAAATAAGTATCACAATTAATTTTGAATCATTCACTTGCAAAAATATACAGTATTTAAGCTTCACAAAGAATATAAAGATTTACAAGAAGAAAAAAAAAAGGAAATAGACTAAATTTTGGTGCAACATTATTTGATTTTTAACTCCTATAAGATGATCTAAGCAAGCAGAACCAACGCTATTTATTCCTGGAACACACACACTTTAATGACTATTATTTTTCTCCTATGTAATGTGAATAAAAAAATCAATTTAATTACTTTAATTATATATTTGTATCAGTTGATCAGAAATTTAAGAAAGAAGAAAATTAAAAAGATATCTTTTGTATTTCATTTTTGAGATGAGAAATTGTCAATATGCTTTAATTTACTTTTCCTAAATGAGATACAAAATTATCAAAAGCAGTACAAACCAAATGTCAAAACCATCTGACATTTCATTTAAAGGCTCCAAAAAACACAACACTGATGTTCTTTGGAATGGTAGATATAATTGTTGCTGCCATCTAGTGGTTGTGAGTTCAGTGCCTAGATCAGCTAGACAATATGCACTGGTTCTGCAAGAACGAACAAGAATTGACATCACAGAGACAAAATAACACAATCAACAGTTATCCCATGTCAACCCAAACCTTGAACACCTGAAAATAGCCAGAGGGTACTTGACTGAAACAATATGTGTGTAATAGAATCTGTTATAAAAATAAGAGCAATTGTTTGAATAAATCAATTTATATTAAAAATATGCCACAAATTGGATTAACACCTACATGCTCCATCAAAAGTGCTAATTAAATATAATTAATGTTATTATCTGAAGTTGTTAACTTCTGTGGAGTTGATAGCTAAATCATCTATTGAGAAAATGTGTTTAGACACTACATTTTATAACTTCCTGGTCATGGATTGAAGTTTTTGTAGTGTTTCCTTAATTCCTATATTTGTGCATGAAGATACATTGAAGAATGAATATTTTGCATTTATTATACAGGGTACGATGGGTAAATTGTCACTATTTTATCTTTTTAATTTGTG